CACACACACACACACGAAGAAGAAGCCAACCCCAAACCTACCTAGAACTAAGAGCGGACTTCTTCTTACCGAATGACTACTCGACACCGGGTTCTGAGGGAGGTGGTACAGCTCGTGATCCGTACAACTTCGCGTTGTTGCTTCATCTCGTCATATCGTCGCCGCTCACTGAAAAAAAATCCTGTTTTTGGATGGCTAGCCGTGGCGTGTCCAGCCGTTCCGCACGCGACTTTGCATCCGCATCTCTTGCTGTATGCTGCGCGAGGAAACCCGCAAAAGATCCCAATGTCAGACTCTGGTTGATTCACTAACCCAATCTCTTGCAGCCATTCTGCATGATGCACCCAAGGTGACGACGACCATGCTTTGGATTCTCACCTGCACAGAACCATCAGCCAAGTCTGCTTCATCGGCTCATAAATTCTGAAATCTAAGCCCCGAAGCACCACAAGTTGCATTCTTCAGGGTCTGGAAGCATCTAAACACAAATGATTAAAGCTTTGCGTTTGGGTATTTTCTGAGAGCTCCTCACCATGGAACTGCTGTCACCTCGCCTGACACCGATCCGCTAAGCCCTAAAATCCCTGACTAAACCCGAATCCCGACCCTGAGCCGTAAACTTAAACCCCCAGCCATAAACCCCCAAACCCCAAGTCCCACAACCCTATAAGAGGTGGTGGAGCAGCTTCGGCAGGGCTGCCTTTCGGAAGAGAAACCCCTAACCCCTACAACTTCGTCAAGCCGTGAGAGTCGACGCGACTCGGTTAGCCCGACTGCCGAGTCGAACCAAGACAAGGATGGTTCTAGGCTCCCTGTTTGAATCCCCAAAATGGTACGGCACCCTTATGAAGGGAACCCTAATTTGGAGAACTGCCCTCAAGACGACGGCGCCTGCGCAGCACTGCGACAGTCCCCTGAGCTTCAGGATTTACGGATGCCATGCTGTACCTTAAGAACCCAAAACCCACTTTTTTGTAGGTTCTTATTATCAACCTTAATATGGGATTTATAGGGACCCTACAAAAAAGTAGGTTTTGGGGACTTAAGGTACCATACAATGCTACAATATAATTTACCATGCCATATCATACTCTACTATACTATGCTGTACGATAATACTCTGCTTTTCTATACTGTACTGTCCTATTCCATACTATGCTATACTACAGTAGGCCATACTCTGCTGTAAGTTATGCTTTCTGTATTAGGGTTGAGGGCCTGAGGGGCTCAGGGTGGTGGGGTCTAGCGTTTAGGCTTACATGGTGAGAACCCTACCCTACCATGGGTTTTGGTTTCGGGGAGGACCGAAGATAACGATCGTCTTATGGCACTAGGCTACAGATCGCATTGGCTACCACACTAGCAACATCAGGACCACGTTCATTCCCTATACTATGCTATTATACCATATTGTACTATACATACTATACTATGCTATAATGTACTATAAAAAGGGTTGAGGGCTCAGGGTTTAGACTCCCAAACGGACCCCAGAGCCTACACCATGGGCAGCACGAAATCACTTCCAACTCCCAACATTCAAAGTCCAAAGCCTTAAACCCGAGACCCTAAGCCTGAATTCCAAAGCTTTACATAAGCCCCTATTGTTACATTATGTAGCAGTAGCAGAAGTAGTAGCAGTAGAAGTAGCAGTAGTAGCAGTAGTATCAGCAGCAGTAGTAGTAGTAGTAGTAGTAGTAGTAGCAGAAGTAGTAGCAGTAGAAGTAGCAGTAGTAGCAGTAGTAGCAGTAGTATCAGCAGCAGCAGCAGCAGCAGCAGCAGCAGCAGCAGCAGCAGCAGCAGCCGCAGCAGCAGCAGCAGCAGCAGTAGTAGTAGTCGTCGTCGTCTTCGTAGTAGTGGCAGTAGTAATAGTAGTA